GGAAATACCCGGTGTCCCCCGTGGGACTTCGGATTTACCCGGTGGTCCCCGTGGGACATCAGCCCGTGGGGCATCGGAGTTACCTGGTGTCCCCCGTGGGACATCGAAGTTACCCGGTGGTCCCCGGGGGACATCGGGTAACTCGACCTTGCAAAGGGAGGTCTGGGCATGAGTTACCCGGTGGTCCCAGTGGGGCGTCGGAGTTACCCGGTGTCCCCTGTGGGGCATCACGACGACGACGACGACGACGACGACGACGACGACGACGACGGCAACTTTCCCATGTGTTTTTCCCGTGCGGCCCCTCCTGATGAGTCAAAAACCCAAGAAGGAATTTCAATATTTTTGCGTTGGAGCCCTTGCCTCGGCGCGTTGGCGGTGAATGCGCGCGACAAGCGCTTTCGGTCGCAATGTGCAACAACCATCGTTGCTTTGCCCGTTCAGGGGGGCCGCACGGGAAAAACGCATGGAATTCGACGACGACGGCGATGACGAAGGACGACGACGACGACGACGACGACGACGACGACGACGACGACGACGACGTGACGACGACCTCTTGGAGCCGTCTTGGGACCGTCTCTGGGCCTTCTTGGAAGCGTCTGAGTGACCGATCTCGGGGCTCTAATGGCATCGTATTGGGGCCCCCTTGGAGCCGTCTTGGGGCCCTCCTGGGCTTTTCACAGGGCCCTCAGGCGGAGCCCAGGAAGGCCCCGAGAGGGCTCCAAGAGGGGCCCAGTAGTTCTGTACCAACCGAGAAACCGCTGGTACATAACTCCTGGGCCTCTCCTGGAGCCGTCTTGGGGCCCTTTGGGGGCCCTCTCGGGTACTTCTCAAGGCCCTCGAGGGCCCTCAGGGCCCCCAGAGGGCCCCAGGACGGCTCCACGAGGGGCCCAAGATGGCCCCAAGAGGGGCCCAGTAGTTATGTACCAACCGAAGGCCCGCTGGTACAGAACTCCTGGGCTTCTCTTGGGGCCATCTTGTGTCACATCTTGGGCCCTCCTGAAGCCGTATTGGGGACCTTTGGGAGCCCTCTCGGGTGCTTCTTAGGGCCCTCGAAGGCCCTCTGGGCCCCCAGAGGGCCCCAGGACGGCTCCACGAGGGGCCCAAGATGGCCCGAGCAATTATGTAACAACTGGGGGCCTGCTGGTACATAACTCCAGGGCTTCTCTTGGGGCCATCTTGGGCCACTCCTGAAGCCGTCTCGGGGCTCTCTGGCAGCTCGCTCGGGTGCTTCTCGGGGTCCAGAAGGAGGAAGAGGAGGAGGAAGAGGACGAGGGGAGGCAGAAGGATCTGCAGGAGGAGGAGGAGGAGGAGGAGGAGGAGGAGGAGGAGAAAGAGGAGGAGGAGGAGGCAGAGGATGAGGGGAGGGAGGAGGAGGAGGAGGAGGAGGAGGAGGAGGAGGAGGCGGACGAGGAGGAGGAGGCGGACGAGGAGGAGGAGGAGGATGAAGAGGAGGAGGAAGAGGACGAAGGCATCTATGCACAAGAACTGCCACCATCCAGAGGTCCAGAGGAGAAAGAGGAGGAGGAGGAGGAGGAGGAGGAGGAGGAGGCGGAGGATCAAGAAAAGCTCCCAGTCTCAGACGTGGTCGCGTCGTGGACAAAAACAAAAACCGACGGACGGGCGGGGGGTGGCCGTTTTCGGTCTCGGAGGGGGGCCGTCGCTGGGCCCCGGGGCCGTCCAAGCAAACGGCTCGTGGCGAGAAGCCAGCCCTGGGGATCGTGCCCGGACTTGCGGGGAACCACGTATGGAACTTACCCTGGCGACGTACCCAACCCCTGCGCAAACGCGGGGCGCAAATAGTTTAGGACACTTTATAAGGGGGGCGGTGACGGAGCGAGGGCTACATATGTCTGCAGACGGAATTCTGGAGACTCGCAGGACACTGGCTACAGGACAAAGACTAGACAAAGCTGATTAGTTAGAATCCCTGAGCACCCCTGGCCACTTCGAAAGCGGGGATCTCATATCGCAGCCCCCGAGAGATGGCGAGGTCTAACTTGAGTCTGCGGCGAGGTCTATTGTGGATCCGCGTAGCGCGTCACTGTGCTGGGCCCCCCCAGCAGGCCTCGAAAGTGGCGACAGGTTCACAGATCGCAGCCCCCCCAGGGATGGCGAGGTCTAATTTAGGTCCGCGCGTGGCATCACTGTGCTGGGCCCCCCAGCAGGCCTCGAAAGTGGCGAAAGTTTCACAGATCGCAGCCCCCCAGGGATGGCGAGGTCTAATTTGGGTCCGCGCGTGGCGTCTCTGTGCTGGCCCCCCAGCAGGCCTCGAAAGTGGCGACAGGTTCACAGATCGCAGCCCCCCAGGGATGGCGAGGTCTAATTTGGGTCCGCGCGTGGCGTCACTGTGCTGGGCCCCCCAGCAGGCCTCGAAAGTGGCGACAGTTTCACAGATCGCAGCCCCCCAGGGATGGCTAGGTCTAATTTGGGTCCGCGCGTGGCGTCGCTGTGCTGGCCCCCCCAGCAGGCCTCGAAAGTGGCGACAGTTTCACAGATCGCAGCCCCCCAGGGATGGCGGGGTCTAATTTGGGTCCGCGCGTGGCGCCACTGTGCTGGG